ACATATCATCATCTAACATAGTTTAATTATTGATCTAGTTTGTTGTTTTCCTCCTCTTGTTTATTGCTGGTTCCGTGGAAGCAAGGATTTTTGCCTTTCTTCTTCATGACTGCACCCCTCAAAAAGCAGTGACTGCCAGACACATAGCAGACACTCAACAAATACCTGTTGAGGGAGTGAATAAATGCAACTCTGCCCACTTTCACCCTCACAGCCCATGCTCCAGACTCACAAGATGAAATGTTGACTCTAGTCAAGGACTCTCGCTCTCGAGCTATTGATGCCATCCCCTCCCAATCAGCTGCCTCAACCTCTCTCTACAATACATCCAACATGTGTCTCCTTTTGAGGAGCTACCTCTCTTCAAAGCTCTCCTAACTTTAACAGATAAAAATAAAAAGATGTAAAGATATCAATTGTCTTTTCTTTCTCATCTAACTTTCCTAAATCAGCAGGTCACAGTCAGGGTCTCCAGACCCTCACCTGCCATTCATTCAACAGCCCTCTGCAGTCCAATTTAGATCCTTGCTACCTACTGAAAATGCTTCCACTGAGATAGCCAGATAGCTCCCAAATGGGTATTTTTCTATACTTTTATTGCTGGTCCTTTCTGTTTAAAAAATTAAATAAATGATGACACATATAACATTGATAGAAGATTGTAGCATTATGTCATTTCTCAACCAAATTAATCCATAAATCAATAAATTACAATCAAATTCCAAAAAGAAGTGAATGTGTGCGTGTGGGGAGGGTGGGGGTTTATAGTCCTGTGTGTGTGTAACTAAACAGGCTGGTTCTAAAATCATGTAGAACAAAGGGCCAAGAAAAGCACTGACAATATTAAAAGTACCTTAAGTATAAGGTGATTACAAAGACATTGTGTTAGTCAACTTTGCATCACTGTGACAAAAATACCTGAGGTAGTCAACTTAAAGGATAGTTATTCTGGCTCAGGTTTGGAGGTTTCAGTCCATTGTTAGCTCATTGCTTTGGGGTTTGTGCAAGGCACTAATCTGAGTTTAGGTGCTACAGTGACACAAAGCTGGCTAACACTCTTGAGTGTCTTGTTTGTTTGATAAAAATATGACTGTATCAAAATGAAAATGAGTACCACAAAGCAAGCCAGATGTGGTGGCTCACATCTGTAATCTAGGCTCTAAGGAGACTGAGGTAGGAGGATTTTGAGTTCAAGACCCTGCCTCCAAAAACAAACAAACAGCTGGAGGAGTAGCTCAAGTGGTAAAGCGCCTGCCTAGCAAGCATGAGGGCCTGAGTTCAAATCCCAGCCCCACCAAAACAAACAAACAAAACCCCCAAACACTCAGGGCCTTGTGAATGCTAGGCAAGCACTGAGATATATTTCCAGCCCCTAACTAACATTCTGAATAACCAAATAAGCATATAAAACATGTTCAACTTTGGGCAGAAGACCTGGCTCAAGCAGTAAAGTGCATGACTTACAAGTATGAAGCCTGAGTTCAAACTCCAATACTACCAAAAAAAAAAAAAAAAAAACCAAAAAGAAAAAAAAGCAGCAGCTGGCTAGTGCCTTTGCCTTTAATGCTACTTAGGGGACACAGATCAGGAAGATCAGGGTTTGTGGCCAGTCCTTGGTAAACAGTTCAAGACTATCCAACACAATAAAAGGCCGGCAGAGTGGTGTCTTGAACAGGACTTTGTCCTTCTCCCCTCCAGGGGCACTTAGCAATGGCCTGAACCTGGGTCAATATCCCTGTGGTGGGATCGCCTGTGGCCCAAGGCAGACTTAGGGTAGAGGCAACAAAACCACGGCGATGTCTCTCAAAGTCCACTCAGACACTGGAGTCAATGCAACATTTATTCACACTTTCAGTGTACAATTACAAGGTCCAAGGTTCCTTCCAATAACAGGAAGGAACAAGGGTTTTGCTGGTTGAGATAAGGATAGCTATACAGGGCATTGACTCACATTGATTTCCTGTGCATGGGTGTTACCTTCTAGGTTAATTCTTCTTGATCTCACCTTTTCTCTAGTACCTGTTCCCCTTTTCCTATTGGCCTCAGTTGCTTTTAAGGTATCTGCTTTAGTTTCTCTGCGTTAAGGGCAACAAATGCTAGCTAGTTTTTTAGGCGTCTTACCTATCCTCACCCCTCCCTTGTGTGCTCTCGCTTTTATCATGTGCTCATAGTCCAATCCCCTTGTTGTGTTTGCCCTTGATCTAATGTCCACATATGAGGGAGAACATACGATTTTTGGTCTTTTGGGCCAGGCTAACCTCACTCAGAATGATGTTCTCCAATTCCATCCATTTACCAGCGAATGATAACATTTCGTTCTTCTTCATGGCTGCATAAAATTCCATTGTGTATAGATACCACATTTTCTTAATCCATTCGTCAGTGCTGGGGCATCTTGGCTGTTTCCATAACTTGGCTATTGTGAATAGTGCCGCAATAAACATGGGTGTGCAGGTGCCTCTGGAGTAACAGTCTTTTGGGTATATCCCCAAGAGTGGTATTGCTGGATCAAATGGTAGATCGATGTTGTGACATTTTCTATGCCTGTGCCCTGTATTCTCCCCAGCTGAAAAGCATCATTAGAAGATGTCTTCTAGTGTGAGACCCTAGTCACATATTCTGGAGGGAACAAAGTACAACTTGCTCACAAGTTGCTGTGTCTGTCTGCTCTAACCTGTTTGGGGACTAGCAGAATGACTGGCAGAAATGCACATTTCTGTTTTGCCTAAATCAGAACTCACACAAACTCAAACTGGTGAATACTGTTAAAAATTATTGTAGGATACTTTAGCCAACCCCACCCAAAATGTCTGATACAAATGAGTGTAATTGAGAATGCCTAGGGTTGCTAAGGCTGGTGGGGGAACCAGATCATTTATTTTCATTCAGTAGTCTAGAAAAAAAAGACTGAAAAGGCCCAACTTCATTCCCAATCAGGCTGAAAGCCATTTCTTAGCTTTTAAGTTGTCCTTCCCATTTTCCATTTAGAAAAAAAAAGGCTAAGGAATTTTAGCTCAGAAGCAGCCCCCTCAGCCTTCCTGGAAGTTGGATGACACAGGTGAGTGTGGGAGCACTGGGAAGAATTCACTGACGGATGCACCTACTGGGCTTTTCAAAGACAGCCTGGGACACAGAGCAGGTCCAGCTGCAGGGCTCAGTCCTAGCCTATCTCCCTTTGGTCTTGGTTTGGTGGCACTGGGGGATGAACCCAGGGTATTGCACATCAAAGCGATCTTTCAGCCTTAGAAAGTCAGATATGTCTAAAACTTTAATCTGTTAACACCTCTTCTACTCATTAGGCTTTCCTGTAGGAGAAAAGTTCAATTTATATTAGCCCCTCAATACTTTCAGTTTAGGTAAAAATGTAAGCTTGGTGAATGACCAGTCATGTAGGCATCCTACGTGTAGTTTTTGTTGTGTGTGTGTGTGTGTGGTACTGGGGCTTGAACTTGGGGCCTACACCTTGAGCCACTCCAGCAGCCCTTGTGATAGGTGTTTTCAAGGTAAGGTCTCATGAACAATTGGTCTGGGACTGGCTTCAAACCACGATCTTCCTGATCTCTGCCTCCTGAGTGCTAGGATTACAGGCGTGAGCCACCGGTGCCCACTAATTTGTGTCTTACAGGCAGAAATAGTCTTCTTTAGTGATAGATTCACATCACACATGCATCTAATGACACCTCCCTTCATCACTATGGTGGTCGGCTGGACCATTTTGGAAGATTGGTGGAAAGAAAAGAGTACATCAAATTTTAATCAAGTTTTCAACTTTAATAAAATATTGCTGTTTGTTACATTTTCTTGTATTTTCTCAACTTACAAAGACAGCAATGTCTTTGCATGTTTTTGTGGCCCCTTTTCAAATAGGTCTAATCTTAATACAAAAGGGTGATTGGGAAGGAGTGGCAGGGACAGGGTGGCAGGGACTGGGGTGGCAGGGACTCGGGTGGGGCAGAGCCCCGGCCCCACTTTAAACACACATAATGGTCACTTGACCATTTCTATCAGCCCTGTAAAAAAAGGGGAGGCAGAGGTCATCCTTCAATTCTACACACTCCTGCTGGTTTGAGATGTTGTACCACATGTGCAGGTTCTGCTGCATTTGGAGTGGGGAAGTTGCTCCAATGTCTCGTTCCTCAAAATGCACGTCATCAGTGAGGATGACGTCTTCAAACTCCCCCTCATCACACGCAACTTTACGGTCATCCTGGGGAACTGGAGAACATCATCAAAAATGAAATTAGCCAGGTTCAGAAAGCCAAAGGCCACATGTTTTCTCTCATGTGTGGAAAACAGATCCAATACAAACACAAGCAATATTATAAAACAGGTCACGCTAAGGGGACAGGGAGACTAACAGAAGGAAGTTAAGAAGGTGAATATGGCTGATGTACTTTGTATACAAGAATGAATATAGAATTTTTAAACCTTTGAAATCACCATAAGGAGGGGTCTAAGATAGAAAGAGAAAAATAGAGATGAACCAATTTGGATTGTAACACACATATACATAGAAATGTCACAGCGAAACTCCCTCTTATAGCTCTATTAAACAAACAAAATTGGTTTTTTTTTTTTTTTTTTCAAAAACAGAGAACAGGAAGGTAAAACAGGTCTTGTCTGGGCGGCTGGTACTAGTGGGAGGGGGGAAGATATAAGGAAAGGGTTTAGGAAGGTGAATATGGTGGAAATATTTTGTACTTATGTATGAAAATGGAATGAGACCTGTTGAAACTGTTCCAGGAGTGGGGGAGGGTGGATAAAAGGATAATTATGGAGGGGGTGAATTCAACTATGAAACACTGTAAGAATTTTTGTAACTGTCACAATAAACACCAAGTACACCAGTAATATGATCTTAAAAAGAACAATAAAATTTAAAAAACAAAAAACATTTCCTCTGGGGGCCATGGGGCGCTGAGGTGGACCCAGCAGCACAGCTGTGGGTGACTGCCAGAACTTGCCTTGCCACATTTTGCACTGGTCATCAAGCTGGAACTTCAGATCCTGAAGCTCCCAGGTAATTCCCCGTTCTGTCTGGGCAGCATGCAGATGGTCTCCGCCTTCTTGTCTTCAATCTCCTTCAGCAGTGCACTGAGGGCAGTGCATTCTCCAATTGCACCCACTGGTACCCCTTGAGGCTCCAGGTCTTCTGCCATCACCTCCAGGAGGCAGTCTTTTGGTGCCTCTGTCTCGCCAGTTGGCTTCTGGTTGGCAGCCACCTGATCTCGATGGGCCACCATGTCTTCCTGCTGGTGGCACAGGCACTGGACTCCCTCCTCCTGCCAGCTGGGAGCCTCCTGGCTATTCACCTCCATGATAACCTTGAGGTCGTCTAGGTTTTCTTGCAGATGGCCCAGCTTCTTGACAAGCTTCTTCTTCACATTCTGCTCCTCCAGCAGGGCGGAGGTCAACTTCATATTGTCATGCTGAAGCTGGGCCAGTTGCTCCTTCAGCACCGCGCTCAGGTCAGTCAAGGTCTCCTGGTTCTCCATGCTCTTCATATCCTCCTTTCCATCCACTGCCTGCTCGCCCGGGATTCTGGCTGCCTGCTCCAGTGCCAGGAGCTGCCGCTCCTGGTCCTCTTTGAGGCGACTCAGCCTGTCATTCTCCCTCACTTGGGCCTCTAACTGACCCTCCAGGCACTCTAGCGCTTTTCTCAGCTGCCGAGCCTCCTCCTCCAGTCGCTGTTCTGCTGCACTGGGCCCGGCTGGGGGCTGTGGAGGTGACGGCTCTTCCAACAGGCTCCTCAGTTCCTCCAGGGTACTTTTCAGTTGAAGAACATCTTGGGCACTGCTCTCCAACTCTTCCTGCAGGATACGCATGGCTGCTGAGGTCTGCTGCAGCTGGCTGGAGGACTCCAGCAGCCTGGCCTCAGACAGCGCCAGCTTCTTCTCAAGCTCCTCCCGGCTCAGCTGCATGGCTTCTTTTTCTGCCAAGAGGATTTGAAGCTTCTTCTCCAGCTGCAAGTCCTTCTCTTTCAGGTCTTCGGTTTTGTGGTTGCACACATCGAGGGCATCTCGCTTCACATCATTCTTCCTGGATGTGATGACGGCCTCCCAGTTTATGACGGGAAAATCCTCATATGCAAGCTTTTTGCTACTCTTGATGCCAGTGTCTGGTGAAGGGACACTGGCAGGCAATGCACCCTCACAAGCTGTTGGTGCAGGAGCACTGCGGTTTGGGGGCACATCCTCACAAATAGTGGGGAGCTCAGGGTTACCATTTTTTATCTTTTGCTTTTTCTTTCCCCCTACAGGCACACTAAGGTTGTTCCTGAGCTGGAAGGCTCTCGGCATTTTCTTGCCCGAGGCCCGTTTCTGAAGTTTGACTTCTTCAGAAATAGCTGGTCTAGGAGGAGGAAGGTGGCGGGTCCACATGACCACACAATCTACCAGCTCTTTCTCAAACACTCAAGATCTTTGTCCACCACACACAACCGTCTTCCTCCACCAGTTATCACGATATATCTCTACCACAATCGACAGTCTTCCTCCTCCACTTATCACGATCTCTCTTCCACTCTCCACAATCCTCCTCCACGTCTTATCACGATGTTTCCTGAATATTCACAACAATCTTCCTCTAACACACAACACGTTCTTCACACAAAATCTTTCGTCCCAAGCACAAAACCCCAATCTTCCTCCCACACACGCCACAATCAACACCCACACACACCACAATCAACTCCCACACACAGAAACAGTCTTGTCCCACACACACACACACCACAATCACTAGAAACACTCAGCGCACCACGTTCCTCCGCCTCTAGCCAGCACCGCGTCCTCTACTCCAACAGCTCGCAGCGGTGTGAGCCAGAAGAGGCAGATGCAGGGGATGCTAGGCAGCATGGAATGTAGAATGTGGGCGTGGCCTGAATCCTCGCACGCCATTGGTGGGTGAGTAAGATGCAGGAGAAAGACTTTGTGAGGGCTGGGCAGGGTTAAAATGAGAGCAGGTGCAGCCCCTGCCCCAACCCCACCCACCCACTGAGGGTGGGGGTGAGGCAGGTCTCCCTGGGTGTCTCTGCACAGTTTTCAAGGCAATGACTCATGACATCCTTCACAGAGTTCTAGTTAACTGAGGCACCTTAGAGGATGCTCTTTGGCCACTGCAGACACCTGACCAGGCCTCAGACCTCAGTCCTCAGGAGATGGGTGACAATGGACAGAAGGTGACAGTACATCACTTTACAGTCCCTTTCCTGAGTCCTCAGCTATGTCTTGTACGTCCAGGTTTTAGAAATCACATCCAGGGTATCCCCCATCCAGTCCTGCACAGTCCCCTTTATCACATACACCTGAGGGTCCCTGATCTCAGTAGTGTATATAAACCACGGCGATGTCTCTCAAAGTCCACTCAGACACTGGAGTCAATGCAACATTTATTCACACTTTCAGTGTACAATTACAAGGTCCAAGAGGGAATCACAGCACACGGTCTGTCACCTCACAGGGCACTGCGGCACGCAAGGCTTATGCTCCATGGATGGAGCCCCACCAAGCAAGCAGTTCATTAGTGTTGAGAATGTTGGCAGGCAGAGCCAGCACTCCACAGAGGAGCCCCACCAGCTGTCAGCAGTCAGCTCGTTTGGGTTGAGAGTGCCGGGAACTCAATCCGCTTGGGAGTGAGAACTATCATAAGGCAGGGCCTCTCTTACTCGGGAGAGAGTCCCTCTGGCAAGGAGAGGCCCACACAGGAGAGAGTCCCTTGATGCTAGCGTACATGTGAGTATCAGAGGACACTGCGGAGTGCAGTTTGCTGTGCCCTCAGCAGGTGTCCTTTTTATGTGATTTTTCTCCTTCAGGGTGCTCCCCTCTGATGTGACTTAGTCCTCTGCTGACTGGTTACACCCAAAAAGTGGGGACTCCAGTGTGCTGCTCTAGATGTCAATATGTCTTAGCATAAGTGTAGCCATACTGGACACTATGTTGTTTACATGCCTTATCAGTCTTGTCCATACAGACAGTGTTCTGCTGGACTCTATAGTCCAGAGTCTGGTAGCTCACTGATTCTGAACTACTCTACACCCAAAGTCCAGACAAACTTTGCAGCTTGTTAAAGGAGGCTTTATGTTCTCTACAAGTGGCTCAAGTGGTAGAGAGCCTGCCTAGCAAGCGTGAGGCCCTGAGTCAAACCCCAGTACCACCAAAAAGAAAACATGTTCAACCTTACAAGCAACTACAGAAATGCAAATTAAAACAATAATAAAAGACCACTCCCATACCACAGCGGACAAAGATATGAAAATTATTAAATGTAGCCACTTTGGAGAATAACTTGGAAAGACCTAGGAAAGTTGCAATGCGCATTACCAATGACTCCGCAATTCCATTCCTGGATCTATGTCCTAGAGAAACTCTTACACATTGGTGAAAAGTGACAGACATGTGAGTGCTAACTGCAGCATGACTTACTACAGATGAAAAATTAGAAGCAGCCAGGTGTGTTACACACAACTGTAATCCCAGCACTATGAAGACTGAAGCAGGAGGATGGTGGTCTCCAGGCCAAGCTGGGACATACAGTGAATACTAGGCTACTTAGTGAGACCCTGTTTCAAAAAATAAGGAAAACAAAAAAGAAAAAAGAAAGCTAACAAAGAAGGGAGGGAGAGAGGAAGGGGGGAGAAAGAGGGGAGGGAGGGAAGGAGGTGGAGAGGGAGGGAGGGAGGGAGGAAGGGAGGAAGGAAGGAAGGAAGGAAGGAAGATTAGAATCAACCTAATGTCCACTGACAAGAGAATAGGTAGATGTAATGGCACCAATGATAAATCTGAAAACTTAATTGGGAATGGAATACAGCAAACTTCCAAAAATAAGTACAGTGTGTCCAAAGCACACAAAGTTCAATGCAAGCAGAAAGGACTAGGTAGTAGATAGGTAGTAAAAATGTGCAGAGAAATTACAAACACCAAGTTTAAACATGTTGTGGCCTCTGTGGGGAGAAGGAAGAGGGGAGATAAAAAGAGGAGGATGTGAGAGGAGGAGAGGGAGAGGGAGAGAGAACTGCTTTGGATTGTCTTGATGGAGACATATGGGCCTCCAGTGGGGGGGGGAACAGACTCCCATAAAAGACATCTATTATGTTCTTACAAGTTGTTTACAATGCTTACAGTCTATCTATAATTCACATTTAATTTGTTCTCCTTCTTTCTCTACAGTGTAACTTTTTCAAGTTACCCTGAAATACAGAGTAATGTCTATTAGATTGCATCAAGAATCAGAATCCCCTGGAGGGCATGTCATCACAGGTCACTGAGAAGGCCCTCAGTAGGTTTAGAGTGGGACTGGAGAAATCTGCATTTCTAAGTTCCTAGGTGACCTTAAGGGGCTGCTCCATGCACCGCACTCTGAAAACCAAACTTTGCGCTAGGTGTGGTGGTGCACACCTGAAACCCCCACATTCTGGAGGCCGAGGCGGAAGATGGTAGTTCAAGGCCAGCCCAGATGGAGGAGGACAATGACAAGGAGGAAGAGTTCTACAGTGAAGTCTATTATATATACTCATTGTGTCTTTGTGGTTGTGGGGAAGTAAGAGACAAAGCAACAAAAGAATAATTGTCTTTTCTTGCACGTTCTCTTTGGGCTCACACCAGCACAGAAGCTCATAATTGCAGGTGGTGAACAGCAATGTTGACAGTGCAGCAGACAGGAGCCAGGTGTCAGCAGAATGAGTGTGATACACTCCCATTTTACCCAGAAAAATGCACTGTCCTGGCTGGAAAATAACTGGGTTGGCTTGTCATTGGGCCATGTCCCCCACCCCACCTCACTCTACCCCTCATCCTCACCATAAACCTCACTTTCTTTTTCCAAGGTGTGCAGAGGAGAGGGTTGAGAATGCTGAGCTCTCCCCACCCAGCCAGCCTGTCTCTGTCCTTGAGCATCTGCGCTACCCTGCACCAAGTCCCACTTCTTGCTTTCAGCTAGCTGTGCTACCAAAAATTGTAGTGATCTTAATTAGTACATAATAGTATCTGAAAATACTATTTTCTGTTGACAGAAAACACCTTCAGAGTCATTTTTCTATAGGCTTGTCTGTAAATGTTCCAATAGAGTTAGAACTGTAATGGCAAAATTTAAAGTAACTGTAGTTAATAGTTAGCAATTAATATAGTATAGTATAGTATAGTATAGTATAGTATAGTATAGTATAGTATAGTACAGTACAGTACAGTACAGTACAGTACTATTAAATGTGTCTTATTACAGTTGGGAACATAAACACAAACTTGCAAAAGGAATTAGGACACCAACCTGGTACAGTGTTTTTTAGAGCTATTTTAGGAGGTTTATATACTTGAAGACCATAAAGACACCTAACATATAAAGGAGCCAGTAGCAGCATCACAGTTTAAACCTTGAATTTTGGTTAGGTAAAGTAACAACTGAGTGGTTGTCAATACAGAACTGAGAATTAAAAACCCTAAAGTTTCCAGTGGTTAGGGTAATGTAGTGTCAGTAATTTCAAACAGTCCATTTTGATACTTAATTGGATATTATATATATAAGACAATATTTATCTAGCCAATGTCAGATAAACCAATGTTTATCTGATGAACAGATGTCAGACAAGGAAATGTTTATCTGACATACAGATGTCAGACCTAAGTGGCAGAACTTTTAGCATTTGTAATAAAGAGCAGAAATGTCTTATTAGATAGAATGTACTTTAGTAAATGATTCTGTAACATTTAGATACAAGGCATTAGCAGTATTAGAACCATTTAAAAGAATTTTTACTTATTTTAACCTTAGTTTTCTTTTTTTTAGTGTTATCAGAAAACTATCTTAGGGTCTTGGCCAGATGTAAAGAATAGTAAATAATTTTAAATGGGCTATGAATGAAGAGAAACAGTCATCATACTTTTGGTTAGCAGGATCAATCAAAGCCATCTCCCAGTACTTAAGGATACCACCAAGTGAATATGTTGGCTTGCCCTATGCTGGCTGCTGGAAACAGAGGGAAGGGTAGGGGGGAAATCCATTCACCCCTCCACTCCAGCATGAGGGCTCCTGAATGGAATACCCTATGCTGGCTGCTGGAAAGAGAGAGAGGGAAGGAAAGGGGGAAAGTTGCCCTTTGGGAGACAGGCAAACTTGTCTACCAAGTTTGGTAGACTTGTTTGGTAGACAAGATTCCAAGAGCTTTGGGGCGTCCCCCTTGTTATCTTGGAAGTCTCAGTTACAGATTCTCTTGATCTGGCATGCCTAAAAAGGCTTCCTGCAAATGTATCTGTGTGAACAAGCTGTGGGGTCCCCGATTTTCTACCGTTCTCAAAGAGCCACCTCTCTTCTACCCTGCATGAGGGTTCCTAAATGGGATTGTGACCCTGAAGGCCAACTCAACTATTAGAGCATCAGAACTATTATAATCAGTACAGAAACCAAATTTCACCAAGGTAAGCTTGGCTCAAACCCATTGCTCGTGGGCAGTTTTCACATCAGGCCATGGGGTTGTAGTTAGCTTGTAAACTTGAAAGAATGGGGGAACCAGTATAGCATCAAAAATCCCCAACAGTTGTTTTGATAAAACAAAAACCCATTTTAAAATACACATTAGTACTCTAAATTTTGACCTTAGAAAACTTTCAGGCAAACTTTAAATTATAAAGTTATAAGCTTGAAGACCTTAATTTGTATCTTGAAATAACCTTTGTAAAAACCAACTGTAGAAAACACTGCTTTAAATAAAACTCTTAATAACCTTATACTTTAAAAGACATAGGAAAAAAATTAAATTAAACCATCTTTTTTAATGATAGCAATCTACAAGAACATGCTTAATAAAGAAAGCGGTTAATAGTAAGATATTTAAAAATGTAAACATAGACTATGCTTCAGTAATTCATTTATTTTGGGTTTAAATTGGTGCTGTTGTGTCATCAGTTTGTAGTGATTCCTGTTAAATTTGCAAGCTAATAGTCTTAGGAGCATTTTGTGAGTTTTTTGTTTTTGAGATTCTGGGGTTTGAATTCAGTGCCTATACCTTGAGCCACTTCACTAGCCCTTTTTTGTGATTTTTTTTTTCTATATAGGGTCTTGTCAACTATTTGCCCAGGATGGCTTCAACCAGTGATCCTCCTGAACATCTAGGAGTACAAGCATGAGCCACCAGAACCCAGCAGCTTTTGTTTGTTTGTTTGTTCATTTTACGGCTGAATAGATTGAGAGATTTAGCTGCAACTCTAACAATAGGCTGTAACATCCATGAAATGATTAAGGGGTGGGGGAACCTCATACCACTAAAGGATGAAACTGACTGGGGTCTTTTACTTATCTTTTTTTTCAACTAGGAAGGCATATATTAGCTTTGGAAAGGACCTTCAAACAGTTGATCAATTTCCTTTATTTTACAGATGAGGAAACTGATGCTGGGAGGTTAAATAACTTGATGTTTTGCCTCTGAAAAGTTGTTAATGGTTGGGCAGGGACTATGTGTGTCTTTTGACTCCTGATTTGTCAGATTAACTCTCCTGAGTTTTCTCTAAAATTGTAAATATGGACACAAATTATGTCAGACTGAAAATAGATTATTAGAGTCATAACTTTACAACTTCAGATGTTTTTTATTTTTATTTTTTTGGGGGGGCGGGCAGGAGGGTGGGACTGGGTTTGAATTCAGGGACTCTCCTGCTTTTATATTCATTCCCATTGTGTTTCAGTCACTTTCTGACATGAATTCCTATGTGGGATTTAGGTTCCTGTTGAAATGCCTATTTATTGCAGATGAGGACAAGGAAAATGGAACTTGGATATGAGGAAAACAGAGTTGTGAATTTTATATATTCAGCTATTTGTTATTATCAACCAGGCACTATGAGAAATTTAGTGTTCAGAAATGACCAGATTCTACTACTTTCCCTCCTGGAGTTTACAGTCTACTGGGAAAACATGAAAACCACTGAAGAACTGACTTTAGTCAATTTTCATTCTATTTTGCATACGGGCAAAAGTTATCACTGAGTATTTTACTTTAAAATTATCGCTTTGGGTTAAAAGGGGAAACTCCACAATGGAAAATAAATTCAATGGAGTAAAGAGAATCCTTAATGTCAGGGCCTTTGTGTCCATATCCACTGGCAGGAAGCATAAGTTGCTGGTGGCTGCCTGCCTCAGAGTTGCTATAGCCCTCCTGTGACTCGGACAGAGTTCCTTGGGAAGACAAGTAGCTGGGAATGTCTGCGGGTAGATTGAGCTCCTCTGCAAAAGAGGTATCTGCAACTCTCAGGAAAATGGTATGGACTAAGAACTCCTCATACTTCCCCTTAACACTATTTTTTACCGAGTTCTTCTCACAGTTTGTCTATAGACGTTATCACTGGGCTGGTACTACTGAGGGTATGATAAGATGTGCAATCTCATATACTTGTAAGAAGATTAGATGTTAATGTATCAGAAAAACAGAAAACCTAATCTGAACTGGATGTGGTGGTACACACCTGTAATCTCAGCTACTCATGAGGCTAAAGCAGGAGAATCTTGATTAAGGCCAGCCTAGGCAACTTAGGAAGACTTCTGTCTCAAAAATAAAGATAAAAAAGGCTAGGAATGTTAGATCAGCAGTACAACACTTACCTAACTTGTACAAGACTCTGG